AAGCATCCTCTTCACAGCTAGCAACACCCAAGACCTTAATATCATCAGCAAATTCAAGTAATTTATTGATCATTCTTTCATCTATGTCATTGATGTAAATCAAGAAGAGAAAAGGTCCTAAGACTGATCCCTGAAGTAACATTGTAACAGTAATCCAGTTTGACTGAATTCCATTTGTAACAACCCTCTGCTTTCTTTCATCAAGCCACTCTTCTATCCAATTTGCTAACTTATCCCCCACACCTATAGAGATAAATTTTTACAAGCATTTTATGTGGCACCTTGTCAAATGCTTTCTGAAAATCCAGATACACCAAATCTATGCCCTTACCCTCATTTACATAAGCAGTAACATTTTCAAAGAATGTCTAGAGATTTGTAAGGCAAGATTTTCCCTTAGTAAAACCATGTTGACTATCCATAAAATTCTAAACTTTGTTAAATGACTTTGCAAAGCATCTTTTATCAACAACTGATGTAAGACTAATGGGCTTATAATTGCTAGGACAATTTTTATCACCTCCCTTGAAAAGAGAGATGACATTAGCTAACTTCTAATCCTCTGGAACCTGCCCACTATTCAAGGACTTACAAAAAAAAGTAGCAAGTGGCTGACATATCCAATCCTTAACCTCCTTCAAAACCTTTGGGAAATATTGTCTGGTCCATGAGCATTATCGTTCTTTAAACTTTCCAATTTTTTCTTAACAAGCTCAGAATTAATGCATTCATCTTGTTCGGTCTTGTTTCCATCTAGCAATTGTTCAAGATGTGGAATACAGTATATTTGAAAATATATCTCTTGATTAGATTCAGTGTTTTGAAGGATGTAGAATGTGCACAAAAAATAACATGGTGTTGGTCTTCTGACTAATGCAATACAGTGTAAATTTTTTTTTGTTATTAGATTGTTTATGGTTAAAATTTTCAGTGCATTCTTTATACAGAAGCAAAAGTTAGAACAAAGATTTGCAGTAAGTTACTCGTATGTTAAGTGCAATGCGGAAGAAGAGCCCAGTATTTATATAAATGTATTGCAGTAGTGGATGTTGGTGTAGTTTAAGGTAATTTACTTTTACTCTTTACTTTTTATTGCAAATTGCATTTTATAGGGTTCTAAAGCAATTTTTGCATAAAATCTGAAAAGTAAGATTGGAAAAAAGTTATTCAGAAATGCTACCTACCTTTCCACAGAATTAAGAGCTTTTTTCTTGCACATCTGCCAAAAAAGATACTTGTGCATACTACAAGCCTTGAATGAAACTCTCATCTCTACTTATACTATATGTACAATGTCAGCCTATGATGCAATCATTGTTTGATTATAGCCTTCCAACAATAGGAGGAAAATATATTCTCCATGTGCAGTAAGCATTTCAACAAAGGCTTATTATTTTCCTCGGCACTGCTTAGTCCAGACTTTTGTTTTTATCAGAATTACAAGATTTTTGTATTGCACTTTTCAATTTTAATTTTCACAAAACAGTCAGCTTATTGTCTCTTATTTTTACTTGAGTGCAAAACATATTCTTTCCTATTAATTAAGGAGCATAAGAAACAGTAAACAATCTTTTGGATCATATAGGTAATTAATTCATATAACCATTTTTTGAAACCACCCCAGGTCTTGACACTTCTCATCTGGAGTCATCTACCACTGTGTTGGTGACTGGAGGCACTTGAAGGTCAATGATGTTACCAACATTCTCTAACAAGTAGTTGGTTTCATTCTGTCTTCTTCTTCTCAGACTTATGATTATTGATAACTTGCTTTCATTGTTCCAGCTGAGTCTGCTCCATCTTTGGACAACTGATTCCACCTCCTGCATTTGTTTATGGTTCCTCTCTTCCTGACAAAGATCAGATAATTCCAATTCATCCTTTGCTGCTTTGATTACAAAGATATGAGACATTTTTACTCTTGTTATTTTTGTTTAGTCTTGGGCTACCTTATTGTCTAATCCTCTTTCTGATTGTTTTATCCCCCCCTTCTGATATTTTTGTTCATGTCAATTGTTTTTGTGTCACCTTTATTCTGACCTTAAGCTTTCGTGTCCTCTCAGACTTTAAGATGCTTTTTTCATGGTGTATATTCAAGATTCTTCTTCTTTCCTGTACTCTCAATCTTTTGAATCTCTTCTCCAATTTGGAGATCTTCTTCTTCTTTATCTTTCTCTTGTCTTCAATCTGCTGGTCTTTGTCTCTTACATGCACAACTTCGCTGCCTACTATTTACCTTCTTTCAAAGGACCTACATCCAAACTGATAGATCTACTGGGGAAACTAATACATACCTGTCATCCAACTTTGCTTCGATTTCTTTTTCAGTTGTGTCCCAGCTAACTTGGTTTCTTTTTTTCTAGGATTTACTTAGTGAGGATGCCTTACTTTCTGGAGTTTGCTTCCTCAGTCTTATTTCAGAGACTTTTATGTTGTTCCATTTCTCTTTGATGAAGTTTTTAAGATAGTTTCTTATACCTTAAAATCTCAAGCTTAGGTAGTTCATCAACAGTCATTTCTGCCCATTTTGGCATTTCTTGGACAAAGGGAGGTCCTACCAAGTTTATTGTCCTCAAGAACCTTACGTGGTTGTCTCCTCTTTCTACTTTCCAGTGTTCCTTCTCTCAGGGACTAAACTGCTAAGGGTCTCAGAAATTATTTGTTTCTGGAGCTGCCCCTCCACTATATCTGGTGGGAACTCAATTCTTCCATTTGCACAACTGTGGACTCCCTTTGCAGAAGACCATTGGGTTACACAAGTGCTTTTCATTTAGTTCCACTCACAACCTTCAATTTCCTTGTTGCCTGTCATATTTCAACCACAACCCTTCGGGTCCCTTGAACCTTTGGTACTTGGGGGAGTCCGTGTCCTCTCTCCAGGTGGTGAATGCTGTAGAACATGTCATTAACCTCACTTTGAGGTTTTACTTCCATCTTTTTTTTAAAGATGGAAGATTGGTGATCTGTAATAGACCTTTTACACCTGAATCAATGTTTGGTCATTCCTATGTTGAAGATGGGTGGTTTTCTCTCTCTCTCTCAGGATATGAATGACCAAAACTCCACATTTCAATTTATCCAGCTGTTCAGAGATCCATTGTCTTCTCTTGTATCTCTCTCTCCTTCTCATCACCTCTTGCTATCATGGTGGCTCAATCAGTCACACATGACAGTTGGAATCCCTCTTCCCCCACCTCACCTGGACCTACATTTGTTCACAGATGCCTCTCTCTCTAGGTAGGGTGTAGTTCTGGACATCTACACCATTTACGAGACCTGTTCTCCGGAGGATCAGTCTCTCCATATCGATGTCCTCGAGATTTTGGTTGCTCAACAAGTTTGCCTTCATCTTCTGTCTTGTCTGTCTGGTCATCTAGTCATGATCCATTCAGAAAAACTCCACGGTTATTTGTTTCGTCATCTGACAGGGAGGCACTCATTCTTGTGGCTACTATTTCCTTACTCTAGACTTTCTCTTTTGGGTCCATGACCACCATATTTGGTTGTTGGTTTGTTATGTCCCAGAAGCTTTGAACCTGGGACAGGATCAATCATCTCATTCTTGACCAGATCCTTCCCACAGAGTGGTCTCTACAGCCTCTGATATTTCAATGAATTTTCTCTCACTTTGGACCTCCTTTCATCAGTGGCTTTGCCACTCATCTTACTACCAAATCTACACATTTTGCTTTCCAGTTTTGGACTCTACAGATTTGGTGGTGGATACTGTGAGTAAAAATTGGTCCAATCTCTTTCTATATGCTTATCCTCCTATTTGACTTATTCTTAGAGTTTTATCTTTTAATTGCTGTACTCCTTGTCAAATTCTAGTAGCCTTTCTTTGACCTACTCAGTTGTGGTTTCCACTTCTTTGTCTCCTGACATTCCAGGAACCTTCCAAGTCTTTCTCACAATGTGCCATACTTCCATTTTCAGGCCTTAAAAGGCTTGCACATATTCCATGTGACTTTAGTACTCTTACAGGATGACTTTATCAAGCACTATAAATTTTTATGACACTTGGCAAAGCTGTGTGAGTTTGCATCTATGCATTTATGTTGAAAACATAACAAATAGCATTTAAGTATTAGTATGTTTACAGATATAGTTGTTTAGGCCAACAACAAACTAAAAATATTGTAGTAAGGCTGATAATAATTTTAATTACACCTTTCTTTACTGGTCCAATAAGTTTCTAGTAAGAAGAACATAATAGCATTTCAACTGTACATTGTACATGTCGCTGTTAATACCACCAGAGCTCACCAGGTAGACTACGTTACAGTACAGTGTAGATTGTAATGCACCTTTAAACTAAAAACAGTGCTTGTATTTACTGTGAAAATGAATATTATTGTAAAATTATGGGAATTGAAATGAGTTATTTTTTTATCAAGGTTATTATATCAAGGACCGAACTTTTATATTGGATTAAGGTGTACTACAAAAATATTAGGAAATACACAATACCATGTAGTCTGAAATAAAGTTTAATAAATCCATTACTATGGAACAACAAGTTTATGTGGGTACAGTTTTCAGCACTTTCACATTTACTCTTCAGTCCAACATTTGTTTATAAGAGATAAACATACACTTAGTGTATTTCTCTCAAAAATAAACATTGAATCGAAGAGAACATGTAAAAATGTTGAATCTTGTACCTGCATAAATTTGTCATTTTCCCGTAATAGTGTATTGAAACTCTACTGTACTATTAAAGTTTACAGATTGTTTTTACAACAAAAGTTACACCTTTATATATTCTATTAACTGTAACAATGAAGCTAAATAAAATTATTTTGTGCATGAACAATATGTAATACGGTGTTGTTTTATTTGTTTAGCCTGTGGTTTGTATTTGGAATATTACAGTACAACACAATTCACGCATGTAAGAGAACTTTATACTGATTAAACTGAATAAATAGGTTTCAGCTTTCATGTTTGAAGTGTAGTTTAAAACTTCAGTGTTAAAGAAGTGGTAAGCTTTTACCACGTTAGTGCTTTAAAGAAGTTCTGCTTGTATGGCCCCCCCAGTGGCACAGCGGTATGTCTGCAGACTTACTACGCTAGAATCCAAGTTTTGATACCCGTGGTGGGCAGAGCATAGATAGCCCATTGTGTAGCTTTGTGCTTAATTGCAAATAAACAAACAAAATGCTTGTTAGAAAGTATTAGTTATTTCTCCTATAAATTTTTCATTTTTATGATTCTGTGCTTAGTTGTTTTGATGCTAAAACATTGCTGTGATTACAAAATGCTTTGTTTTCATATATTATTAGCCAGTAATTGGTAAGAGTTCCTCAGGAGATGCCATTTTCACCATTCATTTGTATTATTGTTCGGGTGGGATTTGTGTAAGAGATGTATTCAGTTTTTAATCTGTGTAATAGTATGGTCTAGTAGTTAGCATGCTGGACTGTGAATTCAAGGGTCCATGATTTCTGTACAATAGTCACAAAATGGCACTCTGCACTTCAGGTATGTTATAAATGTAAAGAGTGACAGTCAAATCCCACTATTCAGTTAGAGGAGCTCAAGAGTTTGTGGTGGGTGCTGTTGACTAGCTGCCTTCTCTCCTGTTTATCAGTTCAACATTAGAGATGGCTAGCCTAGAATGTGACAAAATGTGGGTTTTGTGTATATAGGTAAAAATTGGTATTTTATATAGTCATAGTAAATAAAAGTTGAACTTGAGATTGATTTTGCAGTTGGAATTGTAAAGAGATAACCTTCATTGTTCTCTAATCATTTACACTTGTGAGAGTTTGGCAGACTGTACAGTTTTAATGATTTCTTCAGAATTGTAAACCTTTTTCTGTATATTTCAACATCACAACTTCTGCTATTATCGTAATGTTATTGGTTTGATTAAATGCAAACAGAAAAATAATTTATTTTGCTCTTTAGGGACTTTGTATTCTGGTACCTTCCACAGATTATGTATAAAAATCCCGATGTTCAGATTATTGGGCTGAAGAACATGACTCCTACACCTTTCATCCGAACTTGGCTGGGTAAGATACGTTTATTGAAGTTATTTTATTAACAACATCATTGTTAACCATTCATAGATAGGCCATTTATTGCTGCTTTGTTTTCAGAATCTGTGAAAAGGTCAGACGAGTGTCATGAATCTAAGCCTATGATTCATTTTTCAGATTTCTTGAAGTAGTCAGGTTTCTGGGTCAAATGTTAAGATCACAATTCATACAGTTTAAAAACTGTACAATAAACAAAGACAAGACCATTAAAATTGATACATGAACTTTCATTTGCAAGTCTTAACATGTTTCTATCCTTTGAGTAAATATTCATTGGTTACCACCAGTATGTATAATTTTAATTAAAGGTTTAATTCAAAATACTTGTATTGGCTACTCTAAGATTGTGAGAGAGCAAAAAAAAAATTAAATGTTGCAGTGTTAATTAATTTTCTAAGATTGTGAATCAATGTTTGGGGCCCGGAATGGCCAGGTGGGTAGGACGCTCGACTCGCAATCTGCGGGTTCGCGCCCCCATCCCACCAAACATGCTCGCCCTTTTAGCCATGGGGGCGTTATAATGTGATGGTCAATCCCACTATTCGTTGGTAAAAGAGTAGCCCAAGAGTTGGCGGTAGGTGGTGAAGACTAGCAGCCTTCCCTCTAGTCTTACACTGCTAAATTAGGAGATAGTTGGCGTCAGGAAGGGCATCCGGCCGTAAAAACCCTGCCACCACCGAAAAACAGCGACCCTGTATAGATACGGGAAAAAGCTACGGAAGAAGAAGAATTGTGAATCAATATTTGGAGTATTCAGGGACTAAATAAACTGTTGTAATTATGATGATTGGTTTTCCATACAGTTTCTCTAAAATAGTGTGCAGTGATATGCAAGCTTGTTTAAAATGTGAATTATATTTGTGCACCAGTGGTCATAGCAGCCTCAGGGCTATATGTACATAAAACATGGTGATTGGTTTTCCATACAGTTTCTCTAAAATAGTGTGCAGTGATGACTGTGATATGCAAGCTTGTTTAAAATGTGAATTATATTTGTGCACCAGTGGTCATAGCAGCCTCAGGGCTATATGTACATAAAACATGGTCATAGTTTTCTATTTTTCAAACCTTTGTTTAAGATAAATTTTACCTCATACCAAATAACAGGTATGGATGTGTATGATCCATGTAATTGAGAGCTTTTTCATTTATACATGACCTTCAGCAAATAAATAATGTGGAGCCAAACAATAGTGTTAAGAAAATTGGTAGATGTTTTTGTTGAAGTAATCAACCTTACTCTGACTTTTTAACATCTTTTATTTCAGTTTTTTAGTAACATTTTAAGCATCTTTGAACATTTCATTAAATAATTTTATCCTTTGAAGATGCAAATCTTGGAAACTGAAATAATCATTGTTGAATTTGTAGATTTCAATATTGTTTTTTCCAAAAAAGGTTACACTGACCTATCTTTACAGAAACTCGTTATATATCTATTGAGAAGAATAACTACACTAGGCTCAAAACATGTTTTATTTTTTATATTATTTATTTCCAAGGTGGGGGCAAAAAAATCTCTGAATTAATAATTGTGAATGTTGTGTATATATATCCCACAGGGAAAAAAGTAGGGGGAACTGGTCCCCCCTTTACCCACCTATACATTTATTTTCTGAATGGATATCTTGTAATTTAGTAAAGATATGCAAAACACTACTGTCAAAGATGAGGCAGTTTATTTTAAGTATACTAGCTGTGACTGCAAAACATTTGTAGTAGTTTTTGTGCCCTTCACTTGAACTCTATTTTGTCATTTTCATGTATGCTTTCTTGCAGGCATTATGTGTTAGATCAATAAATCCTTATCTATTTGAAAAAATTATGTGGATTCAGACAAACAAACTCATGTAGACCTAACTTTATTTAATAAAGTATAGTAATGGTAATTATGAGGGTTTTACAAGTTCAAAGAATAAAACCTGTATTAAAGATAAAAGTTGTCTATAAAATGAACTGAAGTAAAGTAAATGTTAAGATGTAACGAAGACAACTTAATTAAATGTGTGTTCACAAAGTGATAAGTATATAGTTTTGAATGAACTACACCTGTATTTTATAACTAATAAGTCATGAAAGCCCATAGCAATTGTATTTAGTGTAATAATCATTACTTTAGGAAATGACATGTCCGTTAGATGTCGTTTGTGCGAGATACTTTGGAAATTAAATAACTAAAGCCAGTAGTCACATGATGACATTTTAGCATACTCATTGCATTAAAAAGTTTGACTAAGCAAAAAATAGGTAAGGTGATTTTGAACATAAAAGCCACTACACAATCAGACTCCTTAGACAAAGGTGTGTAGTGTTTGAGAAGAGTTCGAGACAGACAGTTGCGAGAGTTATCTCACTTTTATGTACGTGTTTTTTTTTTAAAACCTACATTGTTTTTCTGTATAGTAAAGTAATTCTTGCTCAAAGTTAATTAAAAATTACTGATGAGGTTGAACAACAAAGTTTGTTTTAATTCATTTATTCTCCACAAAAGGAATAATCTTTTAAATTCTAAAGATCATTATCTATAAAAATTACACGATGTTATTTTTTTGAACATTTTTGTAAAACACTGCCAAGAGTAATACCAAGTTTTCTATTGTTTCTTGTAACACAAAAACTTAAAAATGTAACAAAAATATATTTTTCAACAGACAGTGGAGCAGAGGTTCTAATGGATATTGACAGTAAAAATAAGGATGAAATACTAAGTCACTTGACAAGAATCTTGGGAAAATCAGAGTAAGTTCTTAAATATTACAAATAATAAAGCAGAGAAAGTATTTCCATAAAATTCCTTACAAACTTCTCTGTAGTAGCTTATGAGTAAAGCATTACGAACATACATATTTTTCTGAAGAAGGAAACATTTAGATCACATGGAATTAGTATTTGACACACAGAGCTAAAACTACTGTGTCTCAATTTGTTTTTGTTTTTTTTATATAACAAATGGTGTAGCATCCATCTGAAATTAGATGTACATGTTTTTGATACAGTAATTACTTCTCATTTATTTTTAAGCCATTAGAAATAGAACAGATGTTTTAGTTTCAGAGTATCTAACGAGCTGTACAAGTGACCTTGTTGCTCTTTTGGGGATACCGAGTACATGTAAACCTCCATTTCTGAAAATCTACTAAGACCACTGTTCCTCTAGTAATACATCAAAAATGTAATAGGTGATCATAGTAAAAAAAAAAAAAGTTATAATGAAAGTTTTTAATTGAAATTATCATACCTAATAATTCAGTAGATGAATACTTGTGTATGTAATGATACATTTTGACCCTAATAACTAGATGTTATGTTTAAACGGAAATTATTTTGTACAAATGTTTTTTGTCTGGTTTATTTAGGAAAACATTAGAAGAAGAAGCAATACAGAAAGAAAAAAAAGATAATCCAGCAAATTTTGGCAGAGGTTGTGATCGTCACTGCATCTGTGAGATACCCGGGCAAGTCCCTTGTCCAGGAGTTGTACAGCTTCCCAAATCCATGCGTGGAAAATTCAACAATTTTGGATTAAATAAAAGTTAAGTCTGACTAACATTGGCATTGTACAAATGTCTACAAGTTAGTACTGAAAGAATGGCAGTGTCAGATGTAGGTGGGTTTGCAGTTGTATTTTTACTTTTATAATGTTATCTGAAAACCACAGACTGAAAATACCGACAATTTTAAAATTGTTTACCTTTGTTTAATGGTATAAACTTAAATGCCTTTGTATTATCATCGCTAGGAATTAGTAAAGCAGTAAAATATATACATCTTTCTTTTTTTAGATTGTGTTAATAATATAGTGACATGTCTTATTAAATCACTAAAAAATTCTGCAGCTGAAATTGTGTTGAATAACATCAGTAATTAGAGTTAAATCTCAGACTTAAAGACATTGTTTGTATAGATATTCTTAGTCACATTTAATGAGTTTTGAACATCAATTTTATAAAGTGCAATGAACCTCAGCATTCAATGTTGATACAAAATTTACTGAGTTTTTTTTTAAATGTTAACTGTTCTAAACTGACACTCTATGAAAGGGTTTTTTAACAGTGGTTCTGTGAGTCAGGGATACTATTTAGAGGCGATTAGAAAAAGTCATCCTGGAAAAGGGTTTCGACCCTGAATTTAGCAAGAACACCATGTAGAAGTCGAGATATGATCGATTGAATATGCGGACTCCATAGTCAATAGTAATGTATATTCATTACCCATGTCACTGCTTGCTTGCATTATGGGAATTTGACTTGAAATACCACTAGTAGTGCTCATGTCATTTGTGTAAAAGATGCTTTCTTTGCTACACTCCAGCAGTATGTTGTAATTTGACTTGTGGATCTAATCCATCTATTGCACTTAACTTTACATTTTAATGGCTCCATTTCTTACTAATCTATCACCTCAGAAATATGGACAAAATCCTGATGAAGCTTGGATCTCAGCTCTCAGATCACCCCTGAAGACAAAAAGGGTCATAATCGAAGTCTTTTTCCCAGTACAATTCAGCTGCAAATTGTAACCAATCAAAAGTAATTACCAGGATGACTCAAAAATTTTGGCTCTGCAAAACCTAGTCTCCCTGGCTTGCAGAACCACTGTTAAGACATTTTATCAAATATTCTGAAGTCCTTATTTTAGTGTTTGAATTCTTCCTGAGGAGTTACCTCTTAATATAGCAGGAACATTCTAATTACATAAGTGATTAAACTATCTCTAGAAACAAAATAAATTAAAAGGGGGAGGGGGGAGATATTGGGATTGTGTCAGTTACTAATCATTCTTTGTTGTTGTTTTTTTATTTATTTATTTGTACATGCATCTCTAAGGTGGTTTGATAACGAAGTTGAGTAATTATCTTTTAGAGAAAACTATTTTCACAATAAAATGTTAAAATGAACAATTAAACTGGTACAGCAAGAGTTTAACATGTTTGTAGTTAACATCACTAGCAATTAAACTGAATCTGGCTTAAAGTGCTAGTATTTAACTACTAGTAATATTAAACCAGGCAGGAACTGCAAACAATCTTTATACCTACCAAGAAAAAATATATAAAGTGAAAGTTTAATAAAGAATCATTACTAGTGCCTGTTTATTTTATTAAATTCTGTTAGTAGAGTTATATAACATTGTTTAATGGTAAAATGAAAAGAAATATAATTCCACCTTCATTATTATGTAAATGAACACTACAAAAACTAAAATATGGTGACAAAATGACATTTTATTAGATGATCAAGGGGAACATACAATTTCTATTCCATGATCAGTTATAGTCATCTAAAGGATAGCACCTTCACCAATAGTAAAGTTAACTACTTAACAAGATTAGTCAAGTGTTAAGAGTAGTTTCTATGTTCCGAGAAGAAAAATATACTTGGCACACAGCTCCAGTTATTTAACAAAAGTTATTGATTAGAGATATCAATATGCTAGTTCTATAATAGAAAAAAACCTCTCCAGTTTGATATTTAACAGAATATTGCTCACTGACATGCAACTTTTTTTTTTTTAGCTTGGCACTTGTGAATTCATATTTTGAAACCTTTACCTGTAAAAGTCAGGACAATCATGATTCTTAGGACAGTACACATTGGGTAAGAAGTTCGCATCAAAAAGGGCATTAAAATATACCAATATAAATACTTTTTATAAGAACAAGGCACTTTTCTTTATATCATCAAAACTACTCAAAACACACAAGTACTAAATTTAAACAAAATATCAAACAATACCAAAAAATGTACAACATGAACTGTTTCTTCTAAATCCTCTTTCCACAACTAACAGCCCAACAAAAAACACCAAAATTTTAAAGGAGAGGGAAAACTTAAACAGTGATAATTTAAAAAAAGCCTTAACATTTGCAAAGTTCAAATCAATAGCCAACACACTATAATATATAAAAAAAGGACAATAATACTATAGCATAATTAAAATATTTAATTCTTGATGAAGCAAGCAAAACACCTTTTGACAAGTTTATTACAGTGGTTTATTTCATTGAATTAAAGAGAAAGACCTGATTCTAAGACTGAAATGTGTGTAAATGCACTTTCAGTTTCTTGTAACTCTTTCATTATTATAAACTAATAACTATTTATTCCACTAAAAGTTTGTTAACGTAAATGAGCAAATAAAATACTACACCTCATTGGGATGTACTTACTTTAAGGAGAGAAAGGTGTAAAACAAAAAGCTTGAAAACACACCATGGGTTGAGAGTGATTTCAAAATCTCTAAGTAGTAAAGCTGAGATGACATTCCATTTTAAAAAGCATTTATGACCGTAAATAATGAGAAACCTGTGCAACTTCGCTAAATATAGCATCAGAGTAATATGGAAATTTCTTCTCACAGATTAATACAGAAAATGTTCAGTTCGTCAAATGTCATGCACCTTATTCCTCATAGGAAATGAGAGAATCTGAATGCATTATGTGGTTAATTTGAAATTAAACGATGCCATAATTAGAGAAAATACACACACACAAAATTTATTTTCTCACTAAATGTGATGTGCTACAAAAATGATGTGGCATTTTAAGAAGTGGCTTGGGGTATATATTGTCCAGCATAAAACTTCATGTAAGTGTCCAGTACTGGGTTCATCTACACTTGGAAGGGATGAGTCAGGGGATAAGGCTCATGAACTCTCCACCTTAAAAGGACTGCCAGGGATGTGGTCGTCACCATATTTAATAATAAGCACATAGTCGCCTTTCTCTTTCACTACGTAGTTTACCTGGTACATGTTACGGCCCATGTGTTTGATGTATACCTCCTCCGAAGGTCCTTTGGGACCATAAAGAGCAACGTAGAGAAGGTTGTTACCTGAAAAATATACAACATTCATCATAAAACTCAACCCCTTTAATACATTGATACTTTTGTTTTTAGTGTGTTCACTTTCAATACACAATCAAGTTATCAAGCAAATTAACCCATAAAAATGGTATTTACTGTATAAATAACAAAC